CATGTGAGGACACAGTGAGAAGGTGGCCTTCTACAAACCAGGAAGACAGGCCTCACTAGAAACCAACCCTGCCAACATCTTGATCTTGGAACTCCAGAACTGTGAAAATATTAATAGTGTAAGCCACCCAGTCTGTGGTATTTTGTTATGGCAGCTGAGCTGACCAATACAGATAGGGTCTTACCTCCATGTGCAAAACATACTTTCAGCTTAGGAAACCTCTCGAACACTCCACCCATGATCATGGAGCAAATGGCTGTGGTGGTCTCTGCTGGCATTCCTGAAAGAGGAAACAGTCACAAGATACAGGGCTTGTCACCTCAAGCAAGAAGTTCAGTGATGCTAATGGCTGGGGAAGGGCTGCTTGCTGTAATCGCCAGTGCTGAGAAATGTGGGGCCCCTGTGCCCCAGCATGGCTTGGTTGTATGTGAACTATTACTTTGGCAAGCAGAGCAATCTGATGCTTTCTATTTGCCTTACAGGTAGAGTCATCTAATGGCTAGAATAGTCACGGAGCCAGAGGACCTGGCTTTTGTCCTGATTCCCCCAGCTTCGGTTATGGATGCAGCGGGGCGAAAGAATACAATAAGTCTGCGCTGAACCCTAACTCCTCTAATTTTTCTCTTCTGGCTTTTGACAAGTTATGTAATGCCCCTGAGCCGGTGCTTCTTCCCCTGTGGATGGGACAGTATTGCCCATCTTGCAAGGCTACTGTAGAGCCTTGCAAATGGCAAATGGTGAAATCGGGAAAGTTCTTGGCCAGAACTTCAAATCGGAGGTGCTCAACAAATATTAGTTGCTTCCCTGTGCCTCAACGTCTTCATCTGTGAAATGGGGATAATAATGGTTAGTTCTCACCACTTGGTAAGTGCTCTGTCAATATTAGCTAATATTATTATTCCTTCTAAATCTTTACTGCTGCTTAGAGCTGAGGTTGAAAATAACTGGATTACAATGAATTGTTTCAAGTGCTTTGCGCTCCTAGAAGCAGCAGCTGTTCCATGCCTGAAGTCTTCACCTCCATGGAGTCAGTCCTGGCTACATTTGCAGATGACTGCTTTTCAGACTGTGATTAAGAAATCTGTGGGGGCTCCACAGCTGAGTCTTGAATTTTCTGGGGAAGCCTGACTCTCTGGCTGCCAAATGGGGCTTCCTGGATGCTCATCCTGCCCCGGTGCTCCATGGAAAGTGACACCCCTGGCTCCCTGGCCTCTTGGGAATCCTGGAAGCCTGATGGATTCATATGCATCTGGGAGTGGGCAGAGCTTCCTGAGGCAGGGGATGGACAACATCACTTCCTGTTGGTCCTATGTTTCTGCTTTCCATTAACTACTTGGACTATAACCCCACAGTCAGTTCTCCATACAGGAGCCAAAGTGGATTATTACAGTGTAAATTGGATTATGGCCCTCCCTTGCTGGGAATCCTCCAGTCTGCTAATGGCCACCTTTGCATCCAGAATAGAATTTTGAAATTAGCTTGTTTTTCTGTTTGTTTATGATCTGTGTACTTGTTTATCATCTTTTTCCTCTAACCAGAACATAGGCTTCAGGAACGCAGAGGTTTTGTCCATGTCTGTATCTTTGGTGCTTGGTATAGGGCCCAACATGCTGGTGGAGGTCAATAATACATGTGTTACATCAATGAATGATGAGGTGACCCTTTGTGCAAATGCTCTCCTCTACTTTTCATGTGGGAAGTTGCAATGTAAATAAGTTTGTGGGACTTGTCAAAGTGTTGTGTGAACTAGGATGAGATTTTCTTTGAAGCTGGAAAGCATGGGGGCTTCTTAGGTTATCTCTTTCTACTAGTTGCTCAAAAATTGGGTAGGGGATGGGTAGGAAGCTGCCTTACTAAATACACTGGTCTCCAAAAGCAATACCAGGGGCATAAAATATCAGGGCAGGAAGAATCCAGATCAGCTCTCTCATTTTGCAAATGAGGAACTGGGGCCCAAGTAGGTAAAGTGACTTGCCACAGGTTATACAGAAAAACAGTGACTAGCTGGAACTGAAGTTCCGTTTTTGACTTTCAGTATATTGCTCCATTTAATTCTTCATGGTGGTTACTTCATTAATTACTTGTATTAATTGGGCTGAGGAGAGCATGGATAATGGCCTCCTGAAAGAAAATGCTATGCTGTTCATTTGGGGATCACTTTTCCTTGGGTTTGTAGGTAAGCTGTACTTTTTACTTGTGGCCCCAGAATTTTGTATCTGTCTCTATTTCTTTTTCTTATTAGGGATGATAATGAGAGAGTGGACAGGCCAGATGGAGATCTCTCCTCTTTCCCTTTACCTTACCTGCATATGGAACCATGAATGAATAGACCAGGAGTCAAAGAGCAGAAGATAAGAACAGATAACAGGAAAACGGAAAGCCGGGGCCATCTATAATGTAGGGCCTTAGATCCTTGGGTGGAGGAAGGTGACCTACTCGAAACTCCAGGGTTCTCATTTGTAAGAGCTGATGCTATTATTGGCTTCTAAAAAATCTGTTACACAGGCATGGTTACTTGTTTTTGGAGCCTTTTTAGGAGTCTATGTAGTGAGGTGGTTTTGGAGTCAAACAGATCTGTGTAAATTCCATTTCCACTTATTAACTGTGTGACTTGAAGAACTTTCCTAACCACTAGGAGACTCAGTTTGTGCATCTCTAAATTGGTTATTATAATGTCAACCTCATAGACTTGTGTGTGGATATGATTAAAATCAAATGAGGTGATATATTACTCAGCACTTATCTGAGTAGAAGCTCAATAACTCAATGGCCCAATTAATAATTCATTCTTTCGAGGCCCGCCAAGTAGCGCATTGGTTAAGAGCTGGCTTGGGACGCCAGAGGGCCCTGGTTCAGATCTCACATATGAGGGCCAGTGACACTGCCCTCCACAGCTAAGATGCTGAACAATGGCTCAACTTGGAGCTGGGCTGCTGTGAGTCACTGGCCATGGCATAGGCTGCAACCCCTGCTGTAGTGGGTTGCCATGGGCTACCGTGTGTAGCCAACAGCCAGCGTGAGCGGCCAGCAGCAGCAGCAGTGAGCGGCCGTCCAGAAGCCGGCGACTGATCTGTGTCACCCAGGAAGAGTGCAATGATGGTGTCAACTTGGGCCAGTGAAGCAACATCCTCCACAACTAGACTGAAGAACAAAATCACAGCAATTTGTCTGTTCCCCTTCCCCCGATTCCCCAGCACTCTTCCAATTCCCCAATAAAAATCTTTAAAAAAAAATAATTCATTCTTTCTCTCTTTGACATAATAAGGTTGACAGATCATTGGAAAAACCCAAAGACTCTGTTCTCTTTTCTAGATCCCCAACCTGACACAAACCTACAAGCCAAGGAAGCCAATATTTCGCCATCCGTCCATCAATCTGCATGTCCCAGGGGTGCACGAATAGGGAGCAGTTCAGCTTTTCAGCCGCCTTCAAAGGAGAAATGAGAGAGCAGGTTATTTGGATGAGCTGGCAAATATAAGGTACTACTAAAATATTTTTGAAGTTGTTCCCTTCTATACATCTATATAACACCTATAAGACACATTGCTAAATTTTGCTCCTGCTTGGAAAACAGAAATGACACTTAGATTTAACAGGGGGGTCGGTAGGTTTACCATCAATTACCATTGATAAATTTAATATATTGTTTGGCAAAACAAATCATAGGAAACACCCATCATTCAAATGTTTTGGCTGAGAGCAAAATGCTTAAGGACTGATCCTGCACTTCAGATGTGTGGGGAAATTTCCCCTGCTGGTCCTTACTTGGTTCACTCTTTCGAAAGGACTGCTCAGATTGTATCTTTAGAGTCAGGGATGGAGTGTTCCCTCCTTTCCTCCACTTGGAAACCTGAGGACATGGAAAGTGAGGAAGTGATGTGCTGGGAGCCAGGGCTTCAGGACTGGGTTGGGGCAGGCTAGCCTGACCCAAGGCCTTCGGTCACTCAGAGCCTGATGCTGGGTAGGTATTTCTGTGGTCGACACAATTTCAAAAAGCCTCAGGAGCCCATCTGAGTCCCTGAATAGTCTGGTGTGAATTAAATTACTTTAGAAAGGAAAGAGCTCTCAATGCTTCATTCAGGCAGGTACTGAGATGAAGGTCATGGGCAAACCTGCTCCAGGGCCTTCTGGGAAATGGAAATACCATCTGGATGAAATGAGCTTTATTCAACAAAACGTTTAATTTTAAAAAGTCCCCTCAACAGGCATTGAGTATTAGTACTTATCAAGTTTCAAAACAGATTTTCCTTAGCACATTTCTTTTTCATATATACTCAGATCCTGGAGTGACTCATCCTGTTATTAATTAGTATGCAGGCTAACTAGGCTGATGCAATATGACTTCTGTACATAAGCATTTTTTTAAATGGAGTAACAATTCTGGGACAACAAGGGGGATTCTGGAAGTGGCAGGCAAAGGGTAGGTGGAGAAAGGACTTTGAATTCAACAGGTTCTGGGGAGTAGAGGAGATATAAACCTTTTGACAGGAGAGGAGTTAATTGGTTTCTGGCACTGGATATAGAATATTGACTTCTTGGGATGGTTTGGGCTTGACAAAAGCATATGATCATGGTGTCTCAGTAGGATTTGACTCCTCATGAGGACAAAACTTGATTCTATGGCCTACGATTTCTAGTCAGTTGAAATTAACAAATACTTTTGGTTACTTTTTTTTTTCTTACTTTTTTTTTTTTAAGCTGAGCCATCCTGCCACCTGTTGGCAGCTCAGCAGCTGATCAGCTCGGGCCAGGACTTGAACCGCTGTTGCTAAGAGCTCAAACTCTTGAGCGAACTCTTAACCAACTGAGCCACTCAGCCGGCCCTTGGTCACTTCTGTATGTGTGGCATTCATTGTAGAGAACACAAAAAGAAATTGCTTCTACTCTCAAAATCATAACTCACATTAACTGAGAATTTATCATGTGCCAAAGTGGTTATAAGAATTTTATTTATTTATTTTTAATTTTTTATTTTTTTTAAAGATTTTTATTGGGGAATTGGGGGAAGGGGAACAGACAAGTTGCTGTCGTTTTGTTTTCAGTCTAGTTGTGGAGGACGTCGCTTCACTGGCTCAAGTTGGCACCATCATTGCGCTCTTCCCGGGTGAGGCAGATCAGTCGCCGGCTTCTGGACGGCCGCTCACTGCGGCTGCTGGCCGCTCACGCTGGCTGCTGGCTACACACGGTAGCCCATGGCAACCCATTTCCACGGGGGCTGCAGCCTACGCCGTCGCTGGCGACTCACGGCAGCCCAGCTCCAGGTTGAGCTGTTGTTCAGCATCTTAGCTGTAGAGGGCAGTGTCACTGGCCCTCATATGTGGGATCCGAACCGGGGCCCTCTGGTATCCCAAGCCAGTTCTTAACCATTGCACCACTCGGCCGGCCCGGTTATAAGAATTTTATAATCAGTCCAGCCGAGTAGCTCGTTGGTTAAGAGTTGGTTTGGGAGTGCGAGCTCTGAGCAGCAGGGCTGCTGGTTTGGATTTCACATGGGCCAGTGACACTGCGCCTTCTACAGCTAAGATGGTGAACAACAGCTCGACCTTGAGCTGGGTACTGTGTGTCGCCAAGTGAAGGCATAGGCTGCAGTGGGGCTGCAGTGGGCTGCCATAAACTACAGTGAGGGGCTGGCAGCCACTGTGAGCAGCCGACAGCGGGTGTGAGCTGCTGTGAACCGCTGTGAGTGGCCATCCAATGGCTGGCGACCTATCTGCCTCAGCCGGGGAGAACACAATGATCACAATACCAACATGGGCCAGTGAAGCAATGTCCTCCACAACTAGACTAAAGAAAAAAAGCACAGCAACTTGTCTGTTTCCCTTCCCCAATTCCCCAACGCTATTCCCTTCCCCAATTCCCCAATAAAATCTTTAAAAAAAAAAGAATTTTACAATTATTAACCAGTATAATCCTATATGAGATGAACACTTGTATTACTCCCATCTTACAAAAAAGGGAATGGGGGCTGATGGAGGCTGAGTAACTTTCTCAGGTCTTATGGCTGATAAATGGCAGAGACCCACAGTCTGCCACTACCACTCTGTTGGCCTCATACTCCCAACAAAGTCATTTTTTAGCCTGAAAACTGGGTTCACTCACTAAGAAGGGAGGTCTTGGAGATAAGGGGGACAGTTAGACGCTCTGGAGGTCCAGTCTCACCAGGAAACGACAAAGCCACCTTAGCTCATGGTAACCTCCCTCATTTGTTTCAGCACGTTACTGATGCAAGTTACAGAGTAGTGAGGCTGGCAGGTCTTGCTAACCATACAAATGTGCTGTCAGTCCCAGGACATCACAAGTCAACTGGGGCCAGGATGCTCTCCTGAAGCCCCTCAGAGACTCCAGTCTCCAAACAGCCTAGTTAGAATGATGGATGGGTCGAGCTAGTCACACTAATGAAAATACTACCCATTTGGACCCCAACCTGCTACTGTTCCTTTCTGGGCCCCTTAGTAATTCATAACCTCAATGCGAATGAATAATAATATGACTTGCAGCTGAAGGTTTGCTCACACTGTGCTGAAACAATTTGGATGCACAGTAAATAAATTTTCCGTCAAACCTCATTAAAGTTTCCAGAAAACATTAGCTGCATCGGCTAAGCCACTGTAGCCAGTAAGCTACAGGGAGTTCAGTATTTAGAGGAACAGTAAATCTTTCCAGTCATCAGGAGGCAATTTAACAGGCAATCCCCCTGCTGGTGGGCAGTGTCCATAGAAACAAACATGGGAAAATTCTTGCATGTAATCAGAGCTCAATAGAGATTAAATGAATAAATGATCAGTGATTACAGTGCCTGGCAAGTCTACCAACATCTATTTAATTCATTATTGAAGATTTTGTCTTTACAGTGAAAATAACAGAAAAACAATACTATTATAATTCTAGGAGGGAAGTAAAAAAATTAAACATGCAGTTGAATATAGAATTATGCGTCTCAAATCCTGGTACTATGGAAAGCAGGTTTAGTAGCACAGAGAACAGAAGATTGAGGAAGACTGGTAGAGAGGACGGCAGAACTGTGGACAGTTTACTCAGATACTTCAGGAATCCATGGCACTGAGTTTTTGAAAACATTTTATTATGCTGTATTTCAAATATAGAAAATTATAAATAATAGTACAATGAACATTCATATACTCACCATCTAGTTTTATCACGTGTTAACATTTGGATGGGATTTTTGTTATGTATTTTTATTATACATTTACAAAATATATGCCTTAAAAAGTATCTTAATTAAGGATTGATTAAATAAATGAAAATTATGCATATATTGGAAATTATGCAGTTATTTTAAAATCATGCATTAAGAGAAGTTTCATTTAGGATGGGAATTCTTAATTAGGACATGAAATCACATGTATAATAGAATTATGATTTCATTAAAAAATATATATATGCAGATATATGCAAATAAAAACAAATGAAATATACTATACCAATGGTTAGTTATATTTGGGCAGTGGGATTATATGTTTTTTTTTGTTTTGTTTTCCTGTTTATACTTTTCTGTATTTTCCACAGTTTCTTGAAAATTATTTTATACTTTTGAAAGTATTTTTTTCCAAAGCAAAAATAAATACTTTTTTTTTTCTGTCATTAAATTGGTTCTTTTGCACAGTGGCTGTGATGAGGGTAATATTTTGGCTTCCACATAAAAGATTAAGAGGAGAGCATGAAGGAGGTAGAAAGAAGAGAGATTTCACTGAGTTAAGTCAGGGCAGGCCTAGGAAGCATTCCACCCCTTCCTCTTTTAGTGGAATGGCCCGCTCCTTTTGGGGAGCTCTTTCCACATCTCCTCCTAAGTCTAGCATGTCATCAGGCATCTTGCTCGCTCTCTGTCCCAGCGAAGTGGTGCAGCGCGTTTTATCTTCCTCCCGCCAGCACCCAGCACAGTGCCCAGCCCAGCTGTGTGTACCCTGATCGAGTGCCGCCTACTTACTGCATAAACAGGGAAGAGTTCCTTGGCGTTCAGGTCCCACGCATTGATGTGGGAGCCGATCTGGAACCCCGGGAAGCCCAGCTCGTTCACACAGCGCTCCATCTCCTTCACAGCCAGCTCTGGGGCCTGCATGGGCAACGTCCCCAGACCCACGAACCTCCTGGGGTGGCTTGCCACTGTGGCAGCTAGGTCGTTGTTTAAAAGCTGGCACAGGTCTAAAGTGTCCTGAGGTTTGGCCTGGTAGAGACAGGTAAGGGAAAACTATATCGTTCAAAAACTACTTCTACTTCTCTAGATGTTTACCTGAACAACACCTCCCTTGGGCTGAATCATTTGTCACTATGGGTGGCTTTATCCCTCAGAAAGCTGATGCACAGGTTGAGATAGGCACTGGCCGTAGGAGACCTAGAAGCCAATCATTGCAAAGAAAACTGCTAGTATTGCTGATTAATTAGAAAAAAAATAAATGAGGCTATCATCTGAAAGGATGGACACAATTCCTGGGCTGACATCCTACGGTGGAGATAGACTGAGGATGCGCCGCCCTAACAGCTGCAAACAGGAGCTTGTAAGTCTGCACACCAGGCATCGCTGCTTCCTGCCGCAGAGAAGGCTGGGCCTGGGGAGTGTGTGATGTCACCATCAGGGCACTTCCTTGTCAGTCCTCACTGTGGGATATCAGGATGCTCACGTACCTTTTCTCTCCCTGTTTGTCCTCCTTTCTGAATTTCCTGTTGGCAGTGACTCTCAGAGTTACCTTAACAAAATTCTGATGCCAATGAAGTTTGCTTTCTGTTCCTCCAACTCTTCCCTCTTCATTATTTTCTTTCCTTTCAACATCAACCCAACCCACTGCTGAGAATTTGGTAGTTCTCCTACAATCCCCATTGTCCAGTCAGAATGACACCCAATCTGATAAATTCAGGTATATTGAGGTCTTAGGGCATTTTTATTTTAAGTAATGAATCTAATTACAGGAACAGAGAGATTGGATCATTATTAGTATTGGAATTATGAGCACAGGTGGGGAAGTATGTATGAGCAGGTGTTAGTTCCATTGGTCCTTAAATCAACACGAGTGAATATTTGTTTGAGCAGGTGCTTACTGCACCCCCAGCTACGTAGGAGGATATCCTTCCACAGGTTTGCAATCATGCCTGAAACTTTAAGCACTCAAGGCTTAACCACTTGGGGAAAAGCATCTAACTCCAGAACTCCTGTTTGGAATCGTATTATTTCCTGGGGAAAGGTACTATATCAGGCCATTATTATTGTTTCCCCTTCAAAATTGTTATCATCTCAGAATAAATTGGCTTGTCAATTACTGAGTAAGGCACTGCAGGGAGGAGTCATCAGATAGGTAATTTCTGGTGGAGATTAAGGTTGGGTCTAGAATTGTGCTGTCCAGTAGACATTGAATGCCAGTCACATAGTGATGTGGAACTACTGGCTGCCATGCTGGACCATGTGGGCCTAGAGCGAGGATAGAACTAAGAACACAGGCCTGGTAGGGCACACTGCAGTGTGAGAAGCTGAAGGATCCCAGTGACCTCTAAAGGGGAGAAGTGGTGGAGGGGTGGGATAATGTCAAGACTCGAATCATCTGTCTACTTGCTAGGGAGCCAGACATGAGCCTTCACCCACCAAGGAAAACGTTTGAAGTTTCACACTCACCCAGTAGCTAAACATGACGGGAACCGTGGAAAGGGCTTGCACGGTCACTCCTGGACAGACACAAAGAAAGGCCCAGCTGATGAGAAAAATGGCCCGACACTCCTTCTGCATTTCCCAGGGCCAAGGCGCCTAGCCAGTCTCCAAACCCTACCCCTGCTGTCCCTTCCCTCGCTGCTCCTCCCTGGGCCCTTCTCTCAGGCCCTCCGTCGCAGGTCTCCCTCATCCCTCAGTGTCAGTTTCTAGGGGGAGGGGAAAAGGCTGAAAAAACATGAAATCATTCAAGAAAAACTGATTGACTCCATTTGTCAAGGGTTATATCTACCCTCCTTCCTGTGAAGTTTATTTAAGCCAGACATTTTCCTACCAAATTTTTTCAGGGCTCCACATCTTAGGTCATGCGTGATAGAGTCTACGTATTTCTCAGCCACCTTCCCAGCCCTTTTAATTCAGCTCCTAAGCGACCCTGGTTCCCATTGTCTAGAATGCTCAGTAGAGGCCCCTGGATTTGGCTCCAGAATCCAGCATCCAGGATGCCTAGATCTTCAAGCTCTTGGAGCTGGGTGTCACGGAAAAGAGGCTGCCAAACGGAGCGTGGTTTGCCTTTCCCTCATGTTTATATCCAGCCCACCTGCAAGCCCTGTTGCTCTACTCCAGTTCCTTTCATCTGCCCACATCTTCCCATCCCCTGCCACAACCTGAACCAGGCCACCCGCGTCTCCTCTGTGGACAACTGCAAGAGCCTCTGAGCTGGTCTCTCACCACCGTTCTTGTCCTCCTAGAGCTTGTTCTCCACTTGGAAGTCAGAGTAAGGTGTTAAAAACTTAGATCAAGTCATTCCCTTGCTCAAAAATTCAAGGACTTCCCAACACACTTCGAGTAAAATCTAGACTTGAACTTGATCTATAAGAAGTACAACGTGGCCATTGTACCATGTTGTAGATAGTCTTTGAAATTCTTTTAAATTGTGGGACCTTGTTTGCTTTTAAAATATAAGATAAGGAAAGCAGTTCTTCGAAATCACTAGTGATGTAGCTTTGAAACAAAAATTTCCTAATTTTCCTTCTTCAAATATTTGAATTAGTTTCATGGTAGAGTATGCTGAGATTACACAATTAATTTTCTTTTAACTGCTCCCATTTCTACCCTTTATGTGTCAATGGGGACATACTGTGTACTGCTCAATGAGACAAACTATAGAAAGAAATTGGATCCTGAATCTGACTAAGCAGGAAATTGGCATCCTTACTCTGTGAATTCTAATTTTCCTGTTTTAATCGACTCTATAATAAGTAAGTACTATACGTTTGAACTTAAAAAAACTTAAAAGTAATAAAATGCCCCTTTAAATTTTTTTTTTTAAGATTTTTACTGGGGAATTGGGGGATGGGAAGAGCGCTGGGGAATTGGGGGAAGAGGAACAGACAAGTTGCTGTCCTTTTGTTCTTCAGTCTAGTTGTGGAGGATGTTGCTTCACTGGCCCAAGTTGACACCATCATTGCGCTCTTCCTGGGTGAAGCAGATCAGTCGCCGGCTTCTGGACGGCTGCGAGCTGCTGCTGCTGGCCGCTCACGCTGGCTGCTGGCTACACATGGTAGCCCATGGCAACCCACTACAGCAGGGGCTGCAGCCTATGCCATGGCCGGTGACTCACGGCAGCCCAGCTCCAAGTTGAGCCGTTGTTCAGCATCTTAGCTGTAGAGGGCAGTGTCACTGGCCCTCATATGTGGGATCCGAACCGGGGCCTCTGGCATCCCAAGCCAGCTCTTAACCAACGCGCCATTCAGCCAGCTTCCCTTTAAATTTTTTGATGGTATAGCACTCTACTTTAAAGCAGAATATACCTAATTAAAAATACTAATTTGGGGACAGAGAGAAAATGATGGCTATGAGGAGGGCTCCCTGAGTTCTCCCTTGGAAATCGCCGCAATTTGAACAGCTGTCACTCGTCAAAGGAACCTCCACTCATCACACAGAGCAGAGAAGAGACTCAAACCAGGATTGCTTGAAGGTGGGCAGACCAGGTGAGTGGGGGAAAAGGGAGGCAAGATGCATGGAGGCGCAGCCTGTACCTGCAGCTGCTGAGATGTGGGGCCCCAGGAGGCAGATCGGAGAGTGTTCCCGGGGCTCGCTCCCTGCATCCCAAAGTCTCGCTGAGCGTGCAGCGGGAGTGTGACGGTTTGCAGACTCTAAGTCAGAAGCCTTGGGCTGGGCGAGTGGGGGAAGAGAGAGGGGAGACATGTGTGCAGAGGTGCAGTCCGCACCCGAGGCTGCGGAGACGCGGGATCCTGGGAGACAGAGTGGAGAGCGTTGCAGCATCAGGGCGGGCACAGTTCCTGCGTCCCTGCGGTCCCGCTGAACTGCTGAGCACTGCTGAAGCGTCTGAGGCAGAAGCCTCAGCTCAAAACAGTGGCGGGATGTTTTTTGTTTGGTTTTGTTTCTTTTCTCTTTCTTTTTTTACTTTTTCTCGGACAGAAAGCAAAAAACAACTGCATAGATAAAAACCCACCACCACCCTCCCTCGGAGACCCTGGCTCCCACCATGCCAGAGTCTTAAGCTGACCTGAATGGAGGAGTAGTGTCAGATTACAGAGGGGCTCCTACTCCCAGAGGGTTGAGGAACTCAGCCAGGAAGAGGCTGCAGAGTGTGAGCCTACCTACCTGCCCCCACGTCTCCTGCACGGCATGGGAGGCAGGGCAATTTCAGCTGCTGAGTCTCTTGCAGGACCCCTGGCAGGTGGCTTTTAGCGGCTCAGAAATATCACACCCTCCACAGCCTCCAGCAGAAAGAGTGCCCGAAGAAGTACATCGAGCCTTCTGGCTGCACAGCACTCAGCGTGCCTCTGGGCAGGCGAGACCAGAAACGGCATTGACTTTGTAAAAACCACCAACCACGCCTCTTAGCCCCATCCATCGAGACCTGCATCGCCAGGGTCACTCTAGGTGCCAGGTGGCCGGCTCTGCCCCCACAAGACGCACAGGAGCTTTTGTACAACAGAGGACAACCTGGGGAGAGCTTGGTGGACTTGAACCAAGATTAGCACTGGGTTTTTTTTTTCTTTTTGTTTGTTTGGCTTTTTGGGGTGTTTTGGGGGTTTTTTGTTTGCTTGTTTTGGGTGTTTTTGTTTTTTTCTATTTCATTATTATCATTTTTAGTTTTTTATATAGGTGTATATATATGTGTATATATATGGGTGTCTAGATGTACTTTTTCTTTTTGCTCTTTCTTTCTTCTCTCCCCTTTGTCCCTTCTTTTCTTCTTTCTTTTCAAAGCTCTACTTTTCCTCCTTCTTTCCATTTTTCTGCAATATTTTTTTGTATGTTTGATATTTCTGTGCATGTTTAGTGTTGGTTGTTGTTTACATGTGAGAGTATCTGGTTTCTTTTGGTGGCTGTTGTGATCATGCTTGTTGATCTGTTATGCTCTAAAATCGCTCTGCAGCAGGGCCCAGCCAAAGAGGCACAAGAATCATAACACCCAGAGGCCGATTTTAGACCAAACCATAGCATAACCTGGTTTGACCTACAGGAGTCACCCCCAAAGGGAAATTTCTACAGGCACAAGTGCCCATAGGGGCCAAGCTTCATCAGAGGGGTCAACCCTCACACAGCAGCTTATAAACTGTGGACACAGCTAACCCTTACAGCTAGTCAGCCTGGGAGTCAATCCCACCTACTGACAAGCCAAAAGCAATCAAAGCTCAACTTCAACAGGAGAAGACACACAACACAAGGAACACCTCTGGTACACACGCACAGAATAGGGAGACTGAGTAATTAAAATATAAAGGACACATACCACATAAGTCCACCCAGAAAAGACTGAGAGACCTAGGGGATCTACCTATTACATGGAAGCAAGCACAAAGAGTAAGCCAGAATGGGGAAACAAAGAAACACATCCCAAATAAAAGAACAGAAGAAACCTCCTGACTCAGTGGAACTAGAGGAAATAGAGGTAACCAACCTATCAGAGACAGAGTTCAGAACACTGATGATTAGAATGTTCAAGGAAACTAGTGAGAATATAAAAGATAGAGTAAAAGATAGAGAAATCATGAAAAACAACCAACTAGAACTAAAGAATTCAATTACTGAAATGAATAACAAACTTGAAGGAATTACCAGCAGATTAGATGAAGCAGAGGATCGAATCAGTGAATTAGAAGACAAGATAGCAAAGATCATCCAAGCAGAACAACAACAACAAAAAAGACTAAAAGACATTGAAAATAATTTAAGAGAGCTGGGCGATAACATCAAGCGCAACAACATGCACATCATAGGATTACCGGAAGGAGAAAAGAAGGAGCAAAGGATCGAGAATGTATTTGAAGTAAAAATGACTGAAAACTTCCCTAACCTGGTGAAGGAGATAGACATACAAGCCCATGAAGTGCAGAGAGTTCCAAACAAGATGATCCCAAACAGGCCCACACCAAGACATGTTATAGTGAAAATGGCAAGGGTTAAAGACAAAGACAGAATCCTAAAAGCAGCAAGGGACGGGCAGCAAGTTACTTACAAGGGCACCCCGATAAGATTATCATCAGCTGACTTTTCTACTAAACTCTGCAGGCCAGGAAGGAGTGGCAAGAGGTTTTCAAAGTGATGAAAAACAAAGGCCTACAACGTAGACGGCTTTGTCCAAAAAGACTATTATTTAAAATTGAAGGAGAGATAAAGAGCTTACAAGAAAACAATAAGCTAAATGAATTCATTACCACCAAGCCAGCATTCCAGGAAATGTTAAAAGGACGTCTTTAAGCAGAAGAAAGAAAAAACAACCTAACTAATGAAGACCAGAAACACAAATAACTAAATGGCAATAACTATACACCTATCAATAATCACATTAAATGTAAATGGATTAAGAGCTCCAATCAAAAGACATAGGGTGGCTGACTGGATAAGAATGCAAGACCCTTGCGTATGCTGTATACAAGAGACTCACCTCAGATCAAAAGACACATACTGCTGAAAGTAAAGGGGTAGGGTAAAATATTTCGTGCAAATGGAACTGAGAATAAAGCTGGAGTAGCGATACTTATATCAGATAAAATGGACTTTAAATGGAAGGATATCATAAAGGACACAGAAGGGCACTTCATAATAATAAAGGGATCGATCCAACAAGAGAACATAACCCTAGTAAACATTGATGTACCTAACATAGGAGCTCCTAAATATATACAACAGATATTGACAGACATAAAGACGGAGATCAACAGCAACACTATGATAGTAGGGAACTTCAACACCCCACTGTAACCAATGGACAGATCCTCCAGACAGAAAATCAATGTGGAAACAGTGGCCTTAAATGACACTTTAGACCAGCTGGATTTAATTGATATTTTCAGAGCATTTCACCCCAAAGCTACAGAATATACGTTCTTCTCAAGTGCACATGGAACATTTTCCAATATAGACCACATATTAGGCCACAAAACAAGTCTCAATAAATATAAGAAAATCGAAATCATATCAAGTATCTTTTCTGACCACAATGCTGGGAAATTAGAAATCAACTACAAGAAAAAAACTGGAAAACAGAAATACATGGAGGCTGAATAACATGTAACTAAATAGCGAGTGGGTCAAAAATGAGATCAAGGAAGAAATCAAAAGATACCTCGAGACAAATGAAAATGAAAACATCACAACTCAAAATCTTTGGGATGCAGCGAAAGCAGTCCTAAGAGGGAAGTTCATAGCAGTGCAGGCCTACCTAAAGAAGCAAGAAAAATCTCAAATCAACAGGTTATCCTTACACCTCTGGGAAATGGAAAAAGAACAGCAAAATAAGCCCAAAGGGAGTACAAGGAAAGAGATAATAAAGACAAGAGCAGAAATAAATGAAATAGAGACCAGAAAAACAATACAAAGGATTAATGAAACCAAGAGCTGGTTTTTTGAGAAGATAAACAAAATTGACAAACCTCTAGCTAGACTCATCAAAAAAAAAAAAAAAAGAGAGAGAGGACACAAATTAGTAAAATCAGGAATGAAAGAGGTGAAGTGACAACAGACACCACAGAAATACAAAAAATTTTAAGAAATTATTATGAGCAACTATACACCAACAAATTTGACAATCTGGAAGAAAGGGATAATTTTCTAGAAGCATACGACCTTCCAAAACTAATGCAAAAAGAAACAGAAAATCTGAATAGACTGATTACTACCAATGAAATTGAATCAGTAATCAACAAACTCCCAACAAACAAAAGCCCTGGACCAAATGGCTTCACAAGTGAATTTTACGAAACATTCAAGAAAGAGTTATCACCTATTTTTCTCAAACTATTTCAAAAAATCCATAAGGAGAGAAGGCTCCCAAACTCTTTCTATGAGGCTACTATCACCCTGATTCCAAAACCGGACAAAGACAATACAAAAAATGAAAACTACAGGCTGATATCTCTGATGAACATAGATGCAAAAATCCTCAACGAAGTATTAGCAAAGAGAATTCAGCAAAATATTAAGAAGATTATACACCATGATCAAGTGGGATTCATCCCCAGGATGCAAGGTTTGTCCAATGTTTACAATTCAATTAATGTGATACACCACATCAACAAAAGGAAAAATAAAAATCTTATGGTCATATTAATAGATGCAGAAAAAGCATTTGACAAAATCCAGCATCCATTTATGATAAAAACTTTTAGCAAAGTGGGAATACAGGGATCATATCTCAACATAATAAAAGCCATATATGATAAACCCACAGCTAACATCATATTCAATGGGGAAAAGCTAAAACCATTCCCTTTAAGATCAGGAACAAGACAAGGCTGTCCACTTACTCCACTTTTATTCAACATAGTTCTGAAAGTTCTAGCCACAGCAATCAGACATGAAAAAGAAATAAGGGCTGGCCAAGTGGTGCATTGGTTAAGAATTGGCTTGGGACATGAGCTCTGAGTAGCAGGGCCCCAGTTCAGATCCCACATTAGGGCCAGTGACACTGTGCCCTCTACCGCTAAAATGGTGAACAACAGCTCGACCTGGAGCTGGGCTGCCGTGAGTCGCTGGCAAGGGTGTAGGCTGCAGTGAAGCTGCAATGGGCTGCCATAAGCTACCTTGAGTGGCTGGCAGCCAGCGTGCACAGCTGGCAGCCAGTGTGAGCTGCCAAGAGCCGCCATGAGCAGCCGTCCAGTGGCCAGTGACCGATCTGCCTCACCTGGGAAGAGTGCAATGATAATACCAACATGGGCCAGTGAAGTGATGTCCTCCACAACTAGACTGAAGAACAAAAGGACAGCAACTTGTCTGTTTCCCTTCCCCAATTCCCCAACGCTGTTCCCCTACCCCAATTCACCAATAAAAATCTTAAAAAAAAAAAAGAAAGAAAAGGCATCCAAATTGGTAAGGAGGAAATAAAATTGTCATTATATGTAGATGACATGATAGTATACATAGAGAACCCCAGAGACTCCCTCAAAAAACTGTTGGAACTGATAAATGAATTCAGTAAGGTAGCAGGATACAAACTCAATATTCAGAAATCAGTTGCATTTGTATACACCAAAAACAAACTATCAGAAAGAGAAATTAAGAAAACAGTCCCATTTACAGTTGCTTTAAGAACTATAAAATACTTAGGAATAAATTTAACCAAAGAAGTAAAAGACCTGTACTCAGACAATTATAAGACATTGAAGAGAGAAATTAAAGAAGATACAAATAAATGGAAACACCTACCATGCTCATGGATAGGAAGAATTAATATAGTTAAAATGTCCATACTGCCTAAAGCAATATATAGATTCAATGCAATTCCTATCAAACTACCAAGGGAATTTTTCACAGAAATAGAAAATATAATCCTAAAATTTATATGGAACCATAAAAGACCCCAAATAGCCACGGCAATCCTGAGAAATAAGAACAAAGCCAGGGGAATCATGCTAGCCAACATCAAATCGTATTACAAGCCTGCAATAATCAAAACAGCATGGTATTGGCATAAAAATAGGCACATAGATCAATGGAACAGATATACGGTCAATTAATCTATGACAATGGAAACAAAAATTTACATTGGGGTAAAGATAATCTATTCAATAAATGGTGCTGGGAAAATTGGACAGATACATGCAAAAAAATGAAATTGGACCACCTCCTTACATCATATACAAGAACAAATTCAGAATGGATTAAAGACTTAAATGGAAGACCTAAAACCATAAAACTCCTAGAAGAAAATATAGGGAGTAAATTTGCAGACATTAACCTAAGCAATATTTTTACTGATATATCCCCATGGGCAAAGGAAGTAAAAGAAAAAATGAACATAT